CAAGCTGGCGGTCACAGACCTCGAACAGCTCCAAAGTCAAAAAAAAAGTTCGGAGTGTAGATCCCAGTCAAGGCTGACCTGCAGATTTGAAGCGGGTTTCTCCCTGTGAAGGAACTGCGCGCGGCGATGCGCCACGCATCGCGAGCCGGCGCCGCCTTTTCATGTTCCAACTGTGTGAAGGGCAATTCTTGGCCCAATTGAACAAAAACGCCTAAAACATTGACGGCATACATCAGAATATCATAGAATCGAACAAGAACATTAATGGAACAAGAATTGGGGTTCTCCAGGTGCTTCCGTCTTTAAGCCCTAAACCAGCCTTTATTGGGTGGCATTTTCGCGATCCTCAAACCTGGAGTCGACCTCCCCAGACACGGCCGGAGTCGGCCTCCTTGATTTCCTGATGCAGCTCGTTGATGCGAGACATGAGCCTCTTGAGTCCCTGGGCCGGCTGAGGGGCATCCTTTTTATCACGCAGTGGGAAGACAAGGAGGGGTCCAAAAAGCTATGCAACTTGCGAGAAGTCACCGACCGAAGTCTTGAAAGAAGAACTTCAAACCTTTTCCTTTCGCGAGTACTGAGCCGTGTGGCTCTTGGTCTTGGCTTCGCATGCGTGGGGCTTGCAAAAACTTCAAACCAGGAAAATGAAAATGATGGAGACTTGAGAATGACATCGAAAGGACCCACCGGATCGTGTCCCACTGCCCGGCCTCGTTGGTGAAAATCACCTGTTCCCCCAGCTCCGACGGCATGCGTTCCATCCTGGGGCGGTGGGGACGATGGCAACAAAGGCCCTTTGAGTTCAAGGCGGAGGGGCGGTTGAGCCACCCAGGTACGTCTGCAACTCACCAGCCAAGGAAACAAGATGCAAACATAATATGTAACATGCATAATACAGTATCATTATAATTTGATTCATATATGCAAACATATGCAAACATAATTTAAACTTAAACATAGTATCCCAGAACGCGCTAAATCACATCAAATCACCTCCTGCAGTTCTCAACCTAGTAGGCGATCTCGATCAGAGGAGCTCCAAGATCTAAAGCACTGGACTGTATATGAATCAATCACCTCCAACTGCCGAGAAACGCGTCACTCTCGGCTGCGAGGCATTGGACCTCAGTCCGGTTCCAGCCGTCGACGGCGACCGCGAATCCATGAGATCAGCGTCACCTGAAAATCCAGGTCTGCATGGATCACAGGTGGAAAGGGGTCCACCCGCCGGATCTGGTCCAATTCGAAGGCTTCAGGTCAACCCGGGCGTGACGGGCAACATGACTCTACCTGGTCTACCTGGTCTAAAACATGCATCCTCCCGGAGGATCAAGGGTCCAAATGGATCCACAGGTAACGAGCACGGTGTCTGTCAGAACCTCAACTTGAGTATGTCTCAGGGAGCATAGGGTTTCAGCCTGGAAATTGGATGTTCAGATGTTCAGAAGTCTAACCGAAGACCACAGGAGTGGTACTCCTGTGCCTGCAGTCCCTGTGGTCGTTGTGCCCGAGAAACTCCTGTGTCGTCGCGCCTGCGAGAGCCGCAGCGCGAAGACGATGGGCACCTGACACGAGAGACGGCGACCCGAGAGTGAGAGGAGCCCACAACCATGAAACAGGACAGACCATGAAACCTGTGGGTCCTTGTCGTTTGGTTTGAGGCAGGCCCACAAGTAGATGTTGCATGTCATGACCTTCTTGGAACTCAAGAGCCCATAGAGTAGAGGCTTTGGCAAGTCTCGTTTTGACTAAGCAACTCAGCACATGCACGAGTTCACCTTGCCTGGTTCAGTTTGCGCTGCTTGTCAGTTTGGAATTGCTGGATTTCGGCATCAGTCATCTTCTGCTCCTGACAGACCGGGGCAAAGTACGTATCAGACTGCAAACCTCCAAACCAGCTGTGGAAACCAAGGTGTGATCGGAAGAAACTGATGTACAGTCAACCTGTTTCCAAACTGAGAGCCCCCTCTTCCAGTGCACTGTGGTCCTTGTCAATGCGCCGTTCGTCATCCAAAAGCCGCTTGTGGGTTTGCTTCAAACCCTGGCAACGGGAAGAACATGCAGTTTCACACCTAACAAACACATCAAATATAAAGTTCATGTCTTTGCCAATCTAAAAATGATCATCCCAAAGTTGGGTATCGGATGAGTTGTTCACCACAGCAGCCTCAACTGCTCGTTGAATCTCTTGAAGCGCATCTTCCATTTCCAGGCCTCGTTGCGAAGCGAGGAGACCGGTCGTTGGTGAAAGGCTGACCGGTCTCTGGTGTTGCGGCGGTCTCTTGGCGTTCGATCCTCCACAAGATACACCAATCCTATTGATCCGTAAGGCACATCCTTTGCGTTCGTGCCACTTGAAAGTGCCACTCTCATCATCGAGAAAGGAACAGCGGACAAGAACATGACTGAACCACAAACGCCCCTAAAATAACAGGCATGTCTTTTCTCCATGCAAGTCCAAGCCCAACCTAATACTACATATACTCATTGGAACTTGCAAGAGGTATGGTTCAAATCCCTTTACTTCCCGAGGCCATCCCTAGATCCCCATGTCGTCGCCCGCAGGTTCCACCTAAGACCCATCAGGCCCTGGCGCTTATCCCGGAGGTCAATGACACTTTCATAAATCTGATGGTCACACCCCTGGCAGGACACTGAGCTGTGAAGAGTCCAAGACTTCGCACGAAAGCACAGCCTGCAGTCGCATTGGCGGCTTAGACCAAGTCTGACGACGCGCCTGAGGTGGACCTGTGTCATCATCCTCCATGTCCTCGTCCTCGTCACTTTCGATGTCGCTGCCCTGCGAAGATGTGGAACTCCAATCAAATGGATATCTGTTGGCAACATCTCTGTTTTTGAAGTACAGGCCTCCCCAGCTAGGTTCCTTTGTTTTTGTCTACACACAAACATGCGGGGTGGATATGCTGCAATTGCATGTAATTGATCAGCAGTGCTGAAGAACCACAGCAGCCCGACAGCTCGACCGCTGTCGTGTCGCGTTGCTTTCATTCGGTGCAAGTCAGCCCCTAGCCTCGCCTCATCATCCTCATCCTCCTCATCTTCGTCAAAGTCTTCTTCTTCCCCACCCTTCTTTCGTTTAGACCTCTTCACCTGCGTGCGTGCGCGCAAATTGGTGGAACTGCAAGGGCCGAAACATGGCCGCATGGCCCCTTGGATGATCATGTTCCTCTGCAAACAGGTGGTTTTCCACTTCCATGACTATTTCAGGAAGCTTCACTTCATTCTTTTTTCAAGCGGAGCATATCAGCATCCATGTGTTCAGGTCATGTCACCTGGAGTATTGTCTGACGTGTGTCCATCAAACACTTCCACACTTCAAGTAAGCCAGAGGTAGCTGATAACATCTGATAACCACTTACACTCACAAACCACCCTCACAATCAATCACAAGCTTGTACTCCACTGCATTCCACTGCAGTCCCAGGTGTTCTGCTTTTCCCAGGCTTTCCTGATCTTTCCTGCGTCCCAGGTCTGCCTTCTTCTTGTAGACCTTCAGCAAGGCACTCAGGAAGGGCGAGTTCTCTCCCACCAAATCGGTGAACTCTGCCTGCGCCAACTCCGCCCACTCCGGAGCGGTGATAACACCAGTGTGGCCAACTCCGCCGGCTGTCTGATCGTGAGTGAGAACATGTAAAATCTACAAGACTGCAAGCTGTTTGGCCTTTGGCTTCACTTTCTCATTGTGTTTAGGATGAAGAAAAAAATACTCCAACAACCTCCGGCTCCCGCCTGGAGATTCTGCTCTTGAGTGTGCCACTCCTCGATCTCTGCCTGCCAACATTTTCAGCCCTATGGCACCATCATGCAAGTTTACCTCAAGATGTGCAGCAGTCGTTTCCTATGGTTCACCACAAGGTCTGACCAAATTATACCAAATTGTCTTTCGGAGGAAACTTGTCTTTCACCTTTCACCCACAATCTTTGATAGGTGAAAATGGTGATCCTCCCTCTTTGAAGCTGGTCCTCTCTCTTTCACCCAATGGTGATCGTCTCTCAGTCTGTCGGAGGCCTTCTTTTCGCTGAGTTGATCTTGGCATTCCTTGATCTGATGCATGATGCTTGTTTTGTCTTGCCGACACCTCAGCCATTTCTGGGCCGACACCTCTGTCTCTGCACGACATCAAGCCAGTCCGTATTTTCTGCATGACGACTGTCGATTAAACCGTAAACGTTAAACATGGATGCCAGTGCGCCAGTGCGATTAGCTATTTTTCCATGCTGAAGATGGACGACACATCCACCTACTAGATGATGTACCTGAGCATGCCAATCCAAAGGCACATCGCAACTTCACAGTGCGCACTGCCTCTAAATCTCTGGGCTTCCTACTTGGTGGCCTTTTTCAGGAGTGTCTCATCCTTCTCCTCGAGCTCATTCAAGGTCAGCAGCTCCTGGCTTCGCAGCGCTGCGGACAGTGGGACGGTGCGGACAGTGGGACAGAACTTTCACGTGGTCTGTGCATGTCCATGCTCATCCAATCATAGCTGCTGGGCATGGCAGGCATGGAGTTCAAGTGGAGTTTCCGGAAGTGCAGCACATCAGTCCCAACGGGAACTGATCAGTCCCTGGGTTGTATCTGAAAGCTGTTTGCGGAAAGTTCTTGCGTTTTCTTGAGCAAATGGAGTGTCCAAGCTCCTCATAAAGCACCAGCAATTTCATGTCAGCATTCTTCAGGTCACTTTCGAGCTTGGCTTTTTCCTGTGTGCACTCCGCACGCGCCGGAGCGCTGGTCGCAGCTCGTTGCTCTGTTGAAGGCTTGAAACAAACTCCAATAAAACCAAACCCATGAGCAGCGGGGCTCACCCAGTTCTTCACATGATGCTTTTCACCACCCAGTTCTGTATCTTCACTTCACTCGCAGCGGGCAATCGAACAATGACAGAACTGGGTGGTCTTCAAACGGTCCGCGATCGGTCCAGCGGTCTGCAAGGACTCCATGCGGTGCGCATGAATGGGCCCGGTTTGGTTCTCTGACCACAAACGACTGTCGGTTGCTCACATCTGGGCATTGACTCAGTCTCATCCTGTTGGCCAATGCATCAGGATTGTTTCAAGGGTAACAAACCTTGCGAACCAGTGCCTTTCAAGTTGTTGAGGCCACGATGATGAACCCTCGAATCGCGCTCCTTTTTGCTGTGGTATCAGATTGAAGATGTCGAAGATTCAGCTAAGATATCACGACTCACAAGTCTCAGCACACCAGTTACTGTCGCCAGTGAAAACACTTGCGTTGCACAAACAACAACTACATCACGAGACGGAACCTCCGTCACATGGATCCTGGTGTTTTGCACATCTCCTAACTTGCGGGTGCTCGGCTCAGTTGTCCACGAAGGTCTTTCGCCCTTGCAACCCTGTAGTACTTCCGCGCCCAGCCAAGGAATCTTGCCAGGTCTGGTCCAGGTAGGCTAAACCTGAGGTAGGCAACGTCCAGCCATGAGCCATGTGACACTGTGAGTCTGTGTCTTTCAAGCGATCTTCATCCACCGGGCGCAATCCCAATCCCTGAGACATCCCACCTCTAACATTCATGAAATATGTATAATGAAATACTTTGGGGCACAGGGGCACCTCCGAACACCACCAGTCCGCAGGATTCGCATGGAATTCGCCTGAATTCGCCGAGGAACCTACAAAGTCCCAAGTGGCCGGATTACAGCAAACCACCCTCTCCAGGAAGGCCGTGTCTGCTGGGCCAATCAGCTTCTGGCCCAAGTCAAACTGTGCGAAGACCTCAGCGCTGCTCCAGCAGCGCGACGCGACGTCTTCAAGGTTGGGAGACGTAATCATCTACCGAGATCTGCCCCCCCCCCTCTGTGAGGACAATGGTTGTGCTGAAATACTAGATGCCTAGATCTATGATCTATGATAGATGTCTTATCTGAGTGAAGAAGTCATGGCGCTAACCTACATGCCTTGCCAGAAGACACACATGCTTAGTTTCTTTTGTCCCCAGAGTCTCCAGAGCTAAAACCAACGTGCAACTGGATGTATTTGGAGATATGTGGATCATCTTGGACATTCTTGCATTGTGTCGTACAATGACAACATTCATCAACATTCCATGTTGGATGGGCAAGTTTAGCCCAAACGCGTATGATTTGATCAATCACGCAAGTGAGTTACGCCAGAAATGGCCACAACAAAAGGACAACATTTGACAACTCAATCTTGAAGAAAGGTTGAACAAAAAACTGAAATGGTGTTGAATAATGACATCGAATGGTGAACTTTTCTGCCTTTGAGAGCATAAGCATGTCTACTCGCGCTGCAGCCCACCACTTCAAAAACCTTGAACAAAAAGCACGAGCTCGTACGCGTGCCTGAAAACGTGCCCTTTGTTCAACTTCCATCCTCTTCCTTTGCCTGTGTCTTGTCATAAGACTCCTCTCTCGGAAGATGACGGCAGGTTTGGCCACCATCCGTGCGTCGGCCACGTCTCTCCACCCCCCGCAAAAGGCCGATGGTGTTCGGCGAACGCGGCCGGATCAGGATCCGGGTGGCATCTCGGGAGCCGTAGATTGCCTTTCGTAGACCGATCTCGCCGATGGCACCCCACAGCACGGTGGTGGAGTACCTGGGCAGACAGAAGCGAAGCGATTTTGGGCGATGAGGCCTTTTGAAGGGATATACCCCAGATGTTCCATCTGGAAAAGGCCCCAGATGTTCCACCTGCCATGTTCCAAGCCTGCTGTTTTGAGCAACATCTGCAAACCTTTCTCAGGAAGTCTGGAAGTCTGGAGGATCTGATAACCGTGAGTTCCAACTTAAGCATAGTGTACATAGTATGTATCTAGTAACAAGTGCAACGCTACTGGTAACAAAGGCCATTATATACTATAGTATTAGCAAGAAGCTACTAGCGATGCACCTGTTACTAGTAGCGATGCCCTTGTGACTAGTCCAGTAGCTAATACCTAGACCATCCAAAGGGTGCCTATGGAGATCTCTAAGTAGTGTAGGGTAGTCTATTGGACACCCAAACAGGATGGCCCTGGTACGTAGCTGGAAGACTTTCGCATTGATCAAACACCTGCGAACCCCCGACGGTTAACTTTCCTGTGGCTGACGTATGCTGATGTGCACGTCAACTTCCAACAGAAGCATGTGCATCAGTGCATCTACTGTATCTGATTTGTTGCAGACGTGTTCTCTTGCACATGCTCCAGGAAAGCAAATTCTAAATGTGCAAAACGGTCGAACAAGTTGTCATCTCAATGTAGTTGAAACATGGTTGTTTAAAGAAAGTTCTCGATAGTACTTTAACAAGAGGTTCTGCTGGCGCCGAGATGCTGGTTGATGCCTTGGTGTCTTTCCCACAAGGACAGGCCATCCATGACACCGCTGGCTCCCGTCACGGGTCCTGGAAGGCACGGCTTGCCGTCGCGGCTGTTGGATGGTCTGAATGACGACCAACAAAACTGAACCCAAGCACGCCACAAGATCTATTCAACCCACAACACCAGAAGCAAGCAAAACCCGTGACAAGTCGTGAAAAAAGAAAGAACACATACAGGCAAAGAAGGTAGCACCAGCACTGGCACATACTGGTACCATCACAAAAACAGAAAGGTGTAGTCTGAGGACCTTAGCCCACCGGGACTAAAGCAACACTTTCGCAGAAGAGCAACTAAAGCCCGTCTGAGTCAATGGGTTCCACTGTCAGTGGCTCCTGAAAAGCCAAGAATACTCTTTTATAGAGAGGTTTCCAACTACTGACTGCTGACCGCTGCCTTGTGAAGCATCTGTCAGTCCTGAACCTCCCTGGCCCATGTAGACTGAGATAGAGGAGAAATGCACTGTCCTGGCAGGCTGCCAAATACGGAGCAGGAAGACCTCCTGGTTCTACTTCGGGCTTTGCCTCATCTACTTTATGATTGAAAATAACACCTGCATGCCATTCCATTCCATGCTTGCGAGCGTACCATAGAAAAAGCATTGCAATGCAGTGACACTTGCATTATATTATACACTGCTGGTCAATACAATGTCACAGTTCGCTTGGAAGCAAGGAAGAGTGCCTGTCCTGTTGATGGTAGTGGCCGTGATCAACCTGCGAGCGTGCGACATTGAGTACAATAATTGACCTCCAAAATGATACAATAAGTTGTGAGATAGCTGCAAGACAATTCAATATCCACCGTGATAACACGCCGCCTTGATGGCAAGTGCTTTGGCTATCATCCGACAAGTTCACCTTCACTTAATTCACTTATCTTCCACAAAGATTCCCAGAACTGAACTAGCACCACCTGCTCCTACCAGTATGGGAGTTTCTGTTTCGCTTGGGTAAGGATGGGGGAGCGCTTTTTTGAGTTGCCTTGAGATTCAGCCATCCCCTGATTCCTGGATGGAAGCTCCTCAGAAAAGGAGATCACAGGGTGACCGAGCGGAGGACCAGAGTCACCTATGAGATACACCTGGTTGCCATCAAATCCCAAATCAACACCCCCGAAAATGGCAATCTTATTCATACTAGCTGTTTTCAAAATTACTTGCTCAAGCTGTATTCACTCAAAGATCTCAAAGTTAGGATTTGGTAGAGTCTGGTAGAGTGAGCACTGATGTATCGTTTTGCAGGTTATGCATGTTTCACATGGTGGAGTGTTGCCACCCACAATGAACGTCACGGATCCTAACAAAACAAAACACAAACACGTCCCGCACAGACAACAAGACACGAACGGACCTTTTCCTCCTGATCGAACCGGACTTGCGAAATCCACTGGACGGCTCTCTCGCACGACTCTCGTGTGCCTGTGGTAGTTCACCGCAGCATGAGCTTTGCTTCCAAAGGTCTGGAAAATGGATGAGCTGACCGTTCCTGCAGTTCCGACATCCATCCGGTCTTCTCGTTCCGAAAGAAACCCCCCCGGAAGAGCAGAGCACGTTCTTGGACCAAACATGACAAAACCATAAAATGTGGACGTATGTAGACTCTTGATTGATAAACCCACCATATGAAGAGGATGGCCAATTCAATTGTGAGAGTTCATAAATTGATCAAGAGTCTATACAGCCACATGAATTTTCCACCGTACCAGTACCTCATCCCACATGGTCTACGTACGTGTCCTTGTGGGGGAGGAGGAGTCGCCTAGTCCGGTGGTTCAAAGATGTTAAATCCAGCAAGATGACATGGACCTGGAACTGCTAAGTGGCAAGCGAACTGGTAAGAACTCCTGGCAGTTTGTCCACCAAATGAAAGCCAATGATATCCTCTGTGGAATAACCGGTCGGGGTTGAGAACCCCATTTTATAGTGATAAATGACTGAACCAGGCTCTGGGAGCACAATGCCCCACTATAGAATCTAGCTTTCAACCCTTGTAGTGTACAGCATAGTTTCTCTATAGAATAAAGGGAGTCAACCTTTAAGGCACTAATGTAACAGAATTGTAGGCTCAAAATCTGAATTATCCAATAGAAACAGCCAGGGGTGGTCCTCATTCTAGACAAGTGGGTGTAACATCAAGGCTGACATATTATTTTAGAGGAAAGTTACGCAGCAATGGCAAAAGAGGTTGGCATTTTATTCTATAGAAACATAATTGAACATTGCAAGGTTGAACTTCATTTTATTAAAAAAAGAAATGGACAGAAAATGACACTCCAAAAACAAGAAATGTCTATAGAGGTTGATATTCATTTTATAAGGACTGGGTTGGACACTCACAGGTTGATTTTTTATTTTAGAAAGGTGGGCTGAATTTTGAACAAAAAACATTTTATAGTGGGCCAATATTCACCGGTTATTCCACAGGAAATGTGGGAATGCATGCACCAGATTGCACAAGAATGCGCCGGATATTTCGTGAAGAGAATCAGAATCCAATCTACCTCACTGTAAAACATCCATCCACTCTAAAGTAAACTCTCAACCTTCTACTGTTCCAGGTTCTCTCTATAGAATCAAAACCATGTCCTCTATAAAATGTCCTCAATTGTCATGTATTCTCTATAAAATGAGGGTGGTCAACCTATTGACCCATCAATATATGATTTTCTCACCTCAGAGATCCTCAGAGTGGATCTGTCTCAGGTAGGTTGACATTTGAATCTAGAAAAAACTCTCTATAAAATGCCAGGTCATTTTGGAGCTCGACGTCCTCCATTCTATAGGGGTTATTCGGCAGAGGATCCAATGATCATGTTGTGCGTCCCTCCCATTGCACCAAACCGGACTTGCAAACCCACCACGATTTCACTTCGGATCACTTTGGATCAAGGCGCCAGTCGCTTGCACCAGGATCTCCACCGGATGTGTGAACTGTGGAGATGGTCTCAACGGCTCCGGTGGGCTTTGCTTCTGCACCACCGGAACCATGGCCTCGGACGGGTCGGACCACCGTTTTTCAGAACAACGGCATCGCTACCAGAAACAAGGGCACTAGTAACGAGGGCATCGCTAGTCCCCAAAAGATTGGAAAGGGACTCGACTCGTATCGACTCGTATATCGACGCTTTTGGTAGTGCCTATTACCTATCAAAGATGTTGCCAGTTCTTCAGGATCATGATGTTCCTATCCGGTTTGCTTCGATAATTGTGCGAACCGCAAGCCTTTATGGCAAAGCCTTTGAGACAAGGCACCGCCTTGTCCTTCCGCTGCAAGGTGTTCTTGGGCGCTTTGCGGAGCGCCTCGTCGGCCACTGAAGATCCGGAGAGGAAGGAGGCAAAATTGAGGACGCGAGCGACGTGCCTGGCGAAGCGACGCAGGTCGTTCGAGTCCAAAAAACAGATCCAAAACTCGAGCGGCCACCGCATGAATCAAAGATCCAAAACTCGAGCGGCCAGGTCTGGAGTCCGAATCCAGAGTTCGTTGATGTTGGTCCTACGATGTTTGTACGAACCACATGACATGGTGTGCTGCCAAATGCTGCCAAGATGCGGCCCATCAGCGGCCTGATGGCTCATCACATCCATGCACATACTTCTTGTGGGTTCCTCGATATTCTCGAGGGGCGGCAAATGTCCAAGCCTGCAGCGGGGTGAAAAGCGCCAGCCTGAGCCTGCGAGCCTTTGACCTGCTTATGGCAGAACCTGATGGGCGACAAAGTCACGTGATGATCATAATTGATAAAGTAGTAGCTTGCTGATGAGTAAGGATTTAGTATGTCTTTAAAGAACATACTACACAAATGTCCGCTTCGTTGACGTGTCTCTATCTAAACTTGTTGATAATAACAGTTAAAAGGAACCCGCCTTTTTGCCGACTCAGCAAAAAGGTGACGGGCATAAATCAAGCAAGAATTGGTATATGAAAAGTGATGACCAAACTTTTCGCTTGGTTCAGACAAATAAAGTATGATTCGTGCACCATCCAATATTACAAAACATGAGTAGAAGCTCCATTCCCCAGAAGATATGAGCCCTTGCCTTTAGAGCCCCTCCAAACACCTCTTGGCCGGAAATGCCCTTCATCATACTCCAGCCAAGCTGCTCCACGAATGCAAAGTTCAAGCCCTTGGGAATAGCTTCCTTCAAGAAGGCGCTGGCTAGTGCTTCTCTGAGCATAGCAGCCTAAAAGGTGCTCGCTGCGGCATTTTACAGACTTTGGGACACCTCTGACTCTAACTTTCCACTCGGAGAAGTGGACATGCGATAGGTGCAAACGATGTGCCACCTCAAGCCACAAACTCTGCTGATTTATATAAGAAATAGTTTACCTCTTAATTGTTCTTCCCACCGAATTAAAAACTCCTTTTCGTATCACTCTCAGCGAAAATATCTCAAAGCTGCAAGAGGAGCCTTGACACCCCTACAGTATCTCACCTTTCTGTCACTCCCCTTACCCCTCGTGTTTCACCTTGTTTCACACTGCTTCACGTCCTCCCTCTGTCGACCCCTTCACCAACCACGAATGTTCGTCTTCCTCGCTGCGCCCGGCGACCGTGCGGGCTCCATGACTCAAGTTGCTGACGCCCGCCGTGAAGCTGGTGCCTGGGCAGGTCCTCTTCACCTCCGCCACCTGGGCGTCGTGGTGCGAGCACCGGAGGCGCAGCACCGACCGGTGAGTCCGATTCCACGTGGCCGGGCCACAGTGGGTGCTCTGAGCCGCTAAGAAAGAACTGCCATTGAAGGGAGCTTGCAGAGTTTTTGAGGTGAAATCGAACAACAAACAAGCCTTGAGAGATGAGATGAGGGATCCTTCCGTTACACTGGGGAGGGTGTGCACCTTACCTGTGAACAAGATCCCATCAAGACCTCTGTGGCAGCCGCAGCCCGGTTTCACCGAAACAAATCTCCGCTGGGCTGCTGCATCAATGAAGTCCTTGGCAGAGGCCCTGACGGCAGATCCCACTGGAGTCAACAAGCAGTCAAAGATGATATCCTCGGGTGGAAAGTCCAACTTGTTGCGAAGAAGCTGGTAGGCACGCTGGCAAGATTGCACCTGCCGGCACCAGGGCTTGGCGAGGTGCGTTGATTAAGAGGAGGGTTAGGCTGTAGGGTGGGCTAACATGAAATGACACAAGATAGTATGGATTAAGTAAGGGGATGTAAGGGGTAACAAGTACGAAGATGTAGGAAGTAGCTACTAAGCTTAAGTAGTTATATACTACCGATCGGACGCAGAAAACCTAAACCTCGGGCTCCTTGAAGAAGCCTGAACCTTAATGAATCTTCATTAATGATTTAGTTCCTAGATTTGTTTGGGAAACTTTGGTTGGATAACTATTGAGGTATGGCATCTTTCGCATCACGTCGGACCCAGTTGCAATGCGATGAACCTGGCGACGTTCTGTTGGTGTTTGCTCCGCCGGCGGAGCGCCCTGCCTTCTCTTGGTAGTTGGGGTAGTTGCCTTCGACTCTTGGCAACGCGAGGACGATGATGGCCGCACCAAAGCGCTTGCACTCTTCAGCCGCGCGAAGGAATTCCTCTTCGCTGGATGCAACCGAAAGGCCGTTGACAATGCATTTGCCCTGCGTGTTCCTCAGCAGGTACAAGTGTCGAGAACCAGGGAGTGCATCCCATCGACGCTCACGAGCCTGCTCCGTGCCATCAAGTTTGCTTTGGTGGATGTGTAACTAAGTGATGTCACCATGCCATACCTGGATAGAGGATATAGGGGTGGAAAGAGAGCCACCCCTAGTGTTTGAAGATCCGAGGCGTTCACTCACCTGCTCTGCCCAACTGCAACATAACACGCTCTTCTGGCCACAAAAATGTCAAGTCCAGAAAACAATTGTTGTTCAAAGTCCAGACACGAAGTATTGCACCCAATCCTATAAGCAAGTGCAGCAACAAAATCTGTCAGATTTCATCGACGATGGTCTCTCAATGACCTACAGCAATGACAAAGGTATCCGCTCGTGCCGCACGTGAGCTGACGTCCTTTGAATGCTGGAGCTTGCCAACGGTCCGGTGCTCAAGATGCTCAAGTGCCAATTCCACTTGATACGGGAAGCCTGGGGGATTCGTGTCCATTCGAGTCCATTCCACCATTCCCATCTTCGAAAGCCCAAGGAATCCAGAACCCGCTGTTCCCCCACCGTGGCCCGTTCACCGCGGGAGAGGTCTCCAGACGGTGTTTCTTTTATCGCCGTGCGTCTTCAAACCCTCGGCGATGACCTTCCAACTCATCGAGCTAATCCTGAGCGAATCCGCGACTCGGTGAATCTGATCGACTTGGTGAATCTGATCATGAATGGATTGTAATCTCCGATGGAAAGATGAATCATGAAACCCGGATGGAAACTGGAGTTTCTCCAAGTTTGCTCAACTTGCTGACTGGATCGGCTCTTTGAATGCCAAGGATCACTAAGGGCACCTTGGCCACCTTGGGGTGCAAGGAGCATCGTCTCACGAACTTGCCCATGGCCTTGGTGTGTTCGTGAGGGTTCAGCGGCAGCGGGCGCCGTTCGTGCAGGACGCAAACGCGAAGATTTGGAAAATCGAGGGATCCTAGGTGGGCGCTATGGTGGGTGACTGGACAGGTTCACACCTAGCACTCCACCTACTGTGGATTTGAAGACACCGTGCTGAGGCAAAATGGAGCTGTCCAAGCTGCGCTAGGAGCATCCACGTTGGGTGAGTCGAAGTTGAGATCCTGGGCGGGCCACAGCAAGTGGTATGGTCTTCACACTGGTGATGTCCAAATGATGGTCCAGAAAACGTTCCCCAAGAAATCATATCAGAGTTCCAGTTTTTTGCTGCGAAAGAAAACTGTGCTCAGACCGAAACGCCACGAGTGCCATGTTTAGGAAGACATGCCCAAGGTGGGGTGAAAGCTGGAAGATTGCGCTCACGGACATGCGTAGGCCGCTTTCAAAACTTTCAGATCAATACCAAACACCTCAATGGATATTAAGCGACATTCACCGCTCCCCTCAAAGCAAGCATGGACTGTCCATCCGAATCAGGGACAAATCCCAGGGACGGAGGCGGGGAACAAGACCAAGGCGACCAAGGATCCAAAAGGTCAGCTTCGTCTTCCACCTGTTTGGTCGCCACCTCCAATGCTGCATCCCAAATGTCCTCATCATCGCCTTACAACAAAGCCATGTGTGTCAGCCGGACGACTCACCTCATCTGTTTGTCTGAATCTGCCTGACTGAACTTGAAGGAAGACGTACCAAGGTCTTGAGGACCCTTTGATGTTCTACTCAAAAATACAATCATGTGTTTGCTGCTCTGATTATCTGTTCTCTCAGAAACAAGAGTCTTTGCTTGAACGCCCAGTTGCTGGTGTATTTCAGCGCATGTACAAGGCCTTTGAAGCGATGAGAGCCCTGAACATGGCAACGTTGACCCACCAACTTCAAGCCACTGCTGGGATTTACAGGGACCGCTTCCAGGCTGCTCAGCTGCAAGACCTTTGAAGCATTGGGTAAGACCTGAGAGTCACGGGCGCAAGGCATCCCTGATTTGAAGCACTGTGGGCCTGTCAAAGTTGCATTAGACAAGGATACTGACAAGGACGTATCGCTAACTCTTCTGGCTACCTGTCTATTTAATTATCCTGTTGGTCTATTTCACTATCTGAATGCTTCAACCACACTTACTGTAACTTCAATATGTCTTCTGAGCATTTCTGAGCCATGACACTCGTGGGGACAGTGCGGCCTTTTCCAATTTGGCCACTGCATCTTGAATGTCCTGCAGGAAGTGACGATGTCACTTCGTCTCTTTGCAAGCACTTGTTGGGTGATATGGAATTTGGGATTCGGTAAGCAGCTACTTAACTATATGTGCTAACTCTCGAGTTGCGTCAGCTTTTCAAAATAACAAAACACAATGACAAATGATGACAATACCCATGATACACATGTACCCTGTCCCTCCCGTCGCCTTGGGCGACGAGGCTGATGGTGAGAAAATGTTGATGCCAGCCCTTGGAGTGTCGCCTGCGAGGTGGTGCCGATCCGGCGGAGAGGCACCAGCGGACCTCCCGACCGAAGTGGCGAAGAAACATGAAGAAAGAATAATGACCGCATTCTTGCTTCACTACGGAGTAGCTCCATCTCCGTTGAAAACGGACCGTGGGGAGGCGCCGCCGAAAAGGAGGGGCGGTTTCGGCGGGTTTCGGCGTGATGATTTGGGCGGTTTCGGTCGAAAAATCCGTGTCGTTCTTCGGTTGGCAGTTGAGCCAGCGAGATCTGTTGATCGGTTGGCAGTTGAGCCAGCCTGTCAACTGCACCCAGGATTGGCATGTCCTGGCCAGCTCCGGAATGGACTCAGCAGCGCCATCGCCTCCGACTCCTCAGAAGGAAGAACACTGAGGCACAAACTTCCTTCCAAATCCACGCAAGTCTGGAGATCTCTACCACGCCAAGACTCAAAGCAAGACTCAAAAAAGATCTCTAACAGGTGACGGATGGTGACGGTGACGGTTCGGCTGTTCACGGTGACCACGTGACCGCTGGTGTTTTCTGCCAGCTTTCTGCGTCCAAATCCACCGAGCGTCCAAAGGCCAAGGGCTGTGCGTGGCTCAGGCTCACCCAGCAGGCTTCTGGGCCTACAAGGCACACCAACACATCTGGTGGAACGTAAACGGGTAGCGGAGCAGCCCGGAACGTGGAATTCCAAACAGACTCCTGCCGGTTTTTCAGTTTTTCCCCAAGATCCCATGCTTCCTAGGCTCGTACTGTAGGTGCGGGGTTCAGACCTTTTCCTTTCCCCTGATAAACTTCTGTCCAGTGGCTCTGTCCGGATGGAGTTCGCCCACCCTTCAAGGAGACATTGATCAAAAGGGGCAAGCGCTCTTTTGGATTCAAATCAAAGTGCTCCTTGCGGCGGCGACTTGAGTGTCACGAAAGCCGAAAAAAATCGTGACTTTGGCGAACAGCGAACATCTTTCGCACCAATTCAGACACTACAGAGAGTCACCAGAGCGGTGTTGTTTTGAAAACTTATGTGAAATTCAACTTGGAACATACAAGTACCTTGAGGCATTGATGCGCCTTTGATGCACCACATTGACTCTTCCACGGACCAGGTCACTTAGGGTGACCTGCAATTGCTTATATTTCAGAAACCGTTGCAGATTCAGAATGCTATCACCAATCCTTCCATACACCTCTACCATCCTTCCTTACACCTCTGCGCTGCGCGACATATGAGAGACGATACATTTGTGCATGAGCATGGTTGGGTAAGCTAATTCAAGCATGTGAGCGGATCATGAGAGTGGATACAAATGCACCTGACGACGTGCACAAAAGAAATAGCAAGGGATGTCATCTTAAAATCATCATAAATCCTCCCTTTGAGCTCATCTCATTGCATCAGTGGGAACTAGTCAAATGAACATGTCTCAGGTGGGTGTCACCAGGTGGTCCAGCTCGTCCGCTCTCGTCCGGCTCGTCCGCTCCTGGATTGCATAGATGGCTGCTTTGGCATTGAGAGTATCCGAAACCATATCCAAAACCAGGAGATGCACGCCACCGTCCACCAGGCCTCGCACCTGGCGAGGTGCAGGGTACAAAAGAGGTTGTTTTTTCACCGTCCCCTGCTTATGCTGACCGCTTGATGACGTGCAAAGCAATTGAACCCCACAGGTTCTCCTTTAGAAGTTGTCATGCATCCGGTATTTGCCAAAAGCACTGTACGCAAAGAAGGATGTTGGATCATGGTGAAACACTTTACATGAAGCACCTGCCCGAAGCGAGTACTTCAGAAAACTCATCTCCGAGGGGCTGCTGCTGCAAATGAAGGATGTTAAGCTACCAATATGATCTTCTCTCAAACATAATAGTCAAAGCTTGTTTTACATCCATCAACTGACTCCTGTCCTGACGACTCACGACGAACTACGATCAACGGCAGAAAGTCACTGCAGAACCTTAAAGTTTCCACTTGAACACATTGCAGCGTTGTGGATGCTTTGCGCAACACTTTGCAAGAATAATTACACTGAATTAGTTCGGACATGCTGCCCTTGGCGGCTTTCTTCACTTCAGCTCTCTTGGTCAGGCCCTGCCCGCCTGTGGCCGGTAGGCGTCAACCATCTGATCCCATGTTGTCTTGGTCTTTGGCGAGGAGAGGCCCCCCCCAGTCGAGGGGCCAATGACGCCAGCGACAAATTTTGGCTGAGAAGATTGACTGACCTGAGTTCTTGCACGACAGAATGATATATCAATTGTCAATTATATCATAGTATATCTATATCAGTCTATAATATTCTATACATTATATCATATCAATTATATCTATGTATCTCGATATATCACGTGCAGTGTTGGCCAACAACTAGAAAACAAGCAAGACATGCACAAAAGATCCCAAAAGAAAACTTAATAAGCAAAGCCAAGTTGACCCACTCAATGACAGCCTGAAGGTCCAAAGTCTTGTGTAAACATGTGCAAACAAAAAGGAAGTGTCTACACAGAATGCTTCTTGTTTCGAAGAACACACATGTTGAGTCCAACCCCATCTGTGGCGTCTTGCATGGCCTCTCGAGACATGGTTGTAGGCTGTGGAAAGGCGCTTCACTGACTCAGCCCACATAGCTATCCCATCATTTATTCCATTCATTGGTTGAACGAATGACTGTGTATGTCAACTGGAACACACTGAACTTCGCAGCGGCGGTTGCGGAGAACCCCGCCACGCCTTGTTTGCCACCGTTGCCGCTGCTTTATTGAGCTCATAGGTGGCATCCTCTGTGCCATAGAAGGCTTGGCACAATCCATCGCCATTGCGCGTATTGGTCCTGACGACTCCAGAGGCGAGAAGGGCTCCGGCTCCACCGGCGAAGGAGCCCGGCTAGGGAGGTTGGGACACTGACACTGTGGCTTAGCACATCGGCGCCCACAAGAAATACTGCCTTCTTCATGGTCATGGAGCAGTGTTGTCACAGCTTATACTGTAATTATTGTACAACAGGAGAGAGTCTTCGAGTGACTCTTGCAAGATGGTTCACAGCATTTGCACAGGATGCCCACGTGGATTGGACTGCAACGAAGAGCTTGTGGGTGTCATGTGCAAGTAACATACGGTGGACCACTTGTTTCTTAGAAGGCAATGCACATCTGTCTTCCATGGGTTACGATGCCTATATATACAAGGATCTGGTGCAACCGGCTTGCCTGATGATATCTGCGCCTGCTTTCAGCAGAGCTCGATGTGCATTCCTGAGGTTCGTGAGACAAAGCAACAGCATTGAACTGAGTGACCTTCCTGGATACCTCAAGGTAGTTAGTTCAGCGGTGTTCGCCACATGAAAAA